ATCTGCTCTTTCTTGCCAGGTCCTGGAGAAATATCCCAACACACCCATGAGCCATAAGGAGATCCTTCAAGTTATCCAGAAAGAAGGACTTAAGGAAATCAGGTGAGTTGAGTTAAGCAGGAAATCCCAGTGATGCCCTGGTTCCAGCTTGGTGCAGTTTGCTGCTAACCCTCAGCTCCTGAGGAGTTTTGGGGCTGAAATATTTCAGGTTTGGAGTCTGGGTCCTGTTTCCAAACAGCTCCCAGGTGTTTTTCCCCACTGAGCTGGGTATGGTCATCCCTGATTCCCAGGTGTGCAGGGCTTGGCTGCAGCTCCTTTAGAGGATAAAAAAAAGGACTTGGCTGCAGCTCCTTTGGAGGATAAAAGGATAAAAAAAAAGCTCCTTTATAGGATAACCCAGCCCTGGTCAGGGGCTTCAGGGACTGAAGGAAACATAACAAATTTTAATTTCTGCTTTAAAAAAGAAGTGAATGGTCAGTTTGACCTCAGAGCAGCCTCAGTTAAAGATTCTTATCTGGAAAAGTGGATTCCAGGTGCTGTTCTCCCTTGTGTTACCTGCAGGAGAGTGTGGTTATTCCTTAGGGACACTCCTGGTCCCTGGAGCAGCCTGGTGGGATGCTGGGCAGAGCAGAGCCAGCTCCATGAAACCCATCTGGGTTTCACAGAGAGCTCCTGAGCTGCTCAGCTGGGCTCCAGGACCCTGGAATCCTGCTGGGAATCAGCTCTCCCAGGCATCAGTGAGGAGCAGTAATCCATGTGAAGGGCAAAGCATTTCTTCAGTTTTCTGAGAGCAAAGAAAAAGAGAGGGGCATAAAGAGGATGGGCTGGGCTTGCTTATCTATTTTGGAATTAAGCAGCCATCCTAAATTTGGCTTAATTGTGTTTTCCAGTCCCCTTTGCCAGCTGGATGCAGCAATCCTTGTGCTTTGCAGGAAATAGTCAGGGGCCACTGCAGGAGCTGTGCTGTCCCACCGGAGCTGGGGATTAGCTCCCAGGGCTGTCAGCTCTGGGAAATGTGGGATTTATCCATCACGGGGACCCCAGGGGAGCTCCTTCAGCTCCTGGGGAGTGACCAAAGGGAGGGAGGGAGGGACAGCCAGGCTCTGGGGGCAGCTGCACTTCTGTGCTAGACAGGGTTAAACCAGACAGACAGGGTTAAACTAGACAGGGTTAAACCAGACAGACAGGGTTAAACCAGACAGACAGACAGGGTTAAACCAGACAGATAGGTTTAAACCAGACAGGGTTAAACCAGACAGACAGGGTTAAACTAGACAGACAGGGTTAAACCAGACAGATAGGTTTAAACCAGACAGGGTTAAACCAGACAGACAGGGTTAAGCTAGACAGGGTTAAACCAGACAGACAGGGTTAAACTAGACAGGGTTAAACTAGACAGGGTTAAACTAGACAGGGTTAAGCAAGACAGGGTTAAACCAGACAGGGTTAAACCAGACAGACAGGGTTAAACTAGACAGGGTTAAGCAAGACAGGGTTAAACCAGACAGACAGGGTTAAGCTAGACAGGGTTAAACCAGACAGACAGGGTTAAACCAGACAGGGTTAAACCAGACAGACAGGGTTAAACTAGACAGGGTTAAACACTAGACAGACTGTTAAACCAGGCATTGTTCAACCAGGCGTTGTTAAACCAGACAGACTGTTAAACTAGACAGTGTTAAACTAGACAGACAGTGTTAAAAACTAGACAGGGTTAAACCAAATTCACCAGCTGCAGCTCAGTCAGCCCGAGGGCACTGGTCAGACTGGAGATGGACAGGTCAGCCTGGAGGGGCACTGGTCAGCCTGGAGTTGGACTGGTCAGCCTGGAGATGGACTGGTCAGCCTGGAGGGGCACTGGTCAGACTGGAGTTGGACTGGTCAGCCTGGAGGGGCACTGGTCAGACTGGAGGGGCACTGGTCAGACTGGAGTTGGACTGGTCAGCCTGGAGCTCACTGGTCAGGCTGGAGTTGGACTGGTCAGCCTGGAGGGGCACTGGTCAGACTGGAGGGGCACTGGTCAGACTGGAATTGGACTGGTCAGCCTGGAGCTCACTGGTCAGACTGGAGGGACACTGGTCAGACTGGATTTGGACTGGTCAGCCTGGAGCTCACTGGTCAGCCTGGAGGGACACTGGTCAGACTGGATTTGGACTGGTCAGCCTGGTGGCAGAGCACAAGGACAGCAAACAGCCAGCACTGACCCTGATGAAGCTTTTTACTAAAATCCTGTGGTTTGGGGGCAGAGCCCCGGGCAGGAGCCCAGGTGGGACTCAGAAGATCCAGCCTGTGCCTGCTCAGGGCAGATTTTGGACAAACAGCCACAAAAAGCAGAGCAGAAATGCAGCTGTGCCTTTCATCCTTCTCACCCTCCTCCTTTTAGAGCTGATGTGGGGCTGGGCTCAGCTCGGGGAGTTGTTTTCCTCTCTGAAGGAGCTGCCTTGAGCTGCAGGATCTCCAGTCCCAGAGGTGTTTGTGGGAGCAGCCAGGTGGGAAACTCCAATTTCAGCTCTTCCCCTTGGCCACACTGGGATGCTGGGCAGGGACCTTTGCTTTTCAATATTCAAATATATTTTTGGTGTATTTAACTTACAGAACTATAAATTTTATATATATATATATATATATTTATAAATGTATGTTTATATAAAGAAATACATTTATAATATATATTTGAAATACAAAAGTATCTATTTAGATAGACATTATTTTGGTGCAATAAGGCTTTCTTTAGGTTAAAAGCTGAAGGATGGTCACATTCGAAGCAATTAAATTGTAGTCAGGGCCAGGATTTGTGCTGAGTTGGGCTTCTGGTCAGGCACAGATGACCAGAATGACAAGACAGCCTTGACACGAAGCAGCTTTTATGAAATGAGGATTCCTGGCAGGGAGGAACAAAAGCTGCCAGGTGAGCGTGTGGAGCTCCCACGTTGGGAATTCAGGGAGAGCCTCTGGCAGTGGCTGAGGGGCTGAGGCTGGTCCCAGTGCAGCTGGCTCTTAAACAAACCCAAGTGCAGATGAATTTGGGAGCGGAGCACTCCCAGGCAGCTCCTCACCCCAAAACCCTGCCAGCTGGGATTTGGGGCGTGTTTGTTGTAGGCTGGAGCTGCCCAGCCCGGGAGGGACAGGAGGGATGAGTTAACATCACCTTTCACAGCAGCTTTTTGGAAATGCCAGCTCAGGAGAGCTCTGGAAGGGACAAGTGGCCTTCCCCCAGCCTGGGGAGGAGGCAGAGGCATGGGGAGCCCAGCTGGGGTGCTTTTCCTCTTCTCCAGGACAGTCCCTGGGCAGGAGCTGCTGGGGGAGAGCTCAGAGGGCTTGGAAGCTCCAGGTCTGGTCTGGAGGGTTTGGAATGGCAGGAAATCAGGATTTCTGCCACGTGCAGTACAGTCTGGGGGGGTTTGGATGAGAGCAGGGCTTTCCCAAGGTTGTTTAGCAGCAGTGCAGAGCCCAGGGGGATGCTGGCTGACCCCAGCTGGAATTAGGATTTTACCCTGTTACTCAGGGGATTTCAGTGGTGACATTGGTGAAGGTGAGGCTGGGACTCAAGGAGTTGAGTCTGCATTCCTCAGACATCCCAAACTCCCTTTTTTCGTGTGATCTGTCAGCCCCTTCTCCCCGTTTGCCTGCTGCGACAGGCTGCCCTGCTCCCTGGAGAGCCTCCACGGGTGCTTGCGTCCTTCCCACGGGATCCTTTCCATGGAATCCATGGAAAAATGGCCCTGGCTGGGCTGCAGGACCTGCCCCACGTCCCAGCTGGGTGCCCTGGGGGAGCCTGGCACTCAATACACTCAATACCTCAGTTACATCAATACAATTCAAATACATCAAAATTTATATACAAATACACTCAATATATACAATTACATCAATACACCTCAAATACCTCAAAATTTATATACAAATACACTCAATACCTCA